AAAAATAAGACCTCCCTGGATAATAAGCTCAAATTGGCTTTTGAGCGCATGTGCCAAAATAAGCCCTCCCCCCAAAATAAGCCCTCCCTGAAAATATTGCAACACAGCAGCAGCCATGAGGTGACCACGCTCGCCGCCTCCTGCACCTCAAAAATAATAAGACCTCCCCCAAAATAAGGCCACACGCTTGTTTCGGGTGTCAAAGGAAAATAAGACCCTGTCTTATTTTGGGGAAAACACAGTATGTGGGAATGACCTTGAGAGATGGGGGAAGAGATGCTGCCTAACGAATGGTCATATAAGAGACAGAGCATACAGATGCATAAAGGGCAGAGAAAGAGGTGCAGAAACAGGGGTGGAATCAACTTACCTTCCTTACCAGTTTGCAAATGTGAGTACAAGCGCCACCTCTGCGCAGGCTCTTCCGCATATGCGCAGAGCTTCAAAAACCGGATGTGATGACATCCGGGCGGGTGGGCAGAGCCTGCTACCGAGCATGCCTGCAAAGGTAAGTAGTACAGCGGGGGAGGGAGGAATCAGCTGTGCCATGCAATTTAGATTAGTTAGAAAGTAGGAAATCCGATGATTCTAGCTTATATAAACCGTGCATCACAGCTGATCGTTGGAAATACCAGTTCACTCAAACCAGTAGCATTTTTTTTTACTACCGGTTCGGGCGGACTGGTAGCATTTCACCCCTGCTTAAAAGGTTCCCACACTCAGGTTCTCAGGCTGTAAAGGAGATGGCAGGAGAAATTTCAGACTTGCAGGATTCTATTAACGTAGCTTTACAATAAAGTAGAATTGGTTTCTCTGGTTGTGTTTTCTGTTAGTTCTACCCGAGAAGGTTGACAGGAAGCCAAGAAGGAAAAGCATCTGATATATAACACTATGAATTATTCATTATTAAGCACTAAGTATGACTTTGGTTTGCAAGCACAAAATAGGTCCATTATTATTAACAGAAACAATCATTTGTTATTTGGTATTCACCAAGGGTCATCTAAAGCGAGCTTTCCCAACCGTGGCAATGTCCAAGTGGACAGCCTTCAAATTCCAGGATTCCAGATCCAGCAGGGTCATTGGTGAGAACTCTGAAAGTTAAAGCCCACACAACTGAAAGTTGCCAAGGTCAGGAAGCCTAGCCCTAAACAGAGTGCAGGTAGTCCTCAATTGATGACCACAATGGAACAAAAAATTATGTTGCTAAGCGAGACAGTTGTTAAATGAGTTTTGCCTCATTTTAGGACTTTTCTTGCCACAGTTGATAAGTGAATCACTGCGGTTGTTAAGGTTGTTAAGTTAGCCTGGCTTCCCCAATGACTTTGTTTGTCAGAAGGTCATGGTGAGGGCCACCCTAAAAAGTGATCACATGACCCTGGGCCACTGCAACCATCCACAAATATGTACCAGTTGCCAAGCGTTCAGATTTTGATCACATGACCTATAGGAGGTGCTGCAACAGTTATAAGTGTGAAAAAGCGTTATACGTCACTTTTTTCAGTGCCGTTCAGGGGTGGGTTTCTCGCCCCGTTCCAATCGGTTCGGTTGGAAGGGGCCCAGCGGCGTCCTCGTGCACGCGCGCAGTGCACACATGCATACTAGCGTCTGTGCGATGCTCCAGCTGCTCCTGGAGGAT